GAGGAAGATAGTTTTCAAGCTTATAGAGAGAGAGTGCATAGCCAAGACGTCGGGATAACCTTCTCATCGTTTTCATTTCTTTATCTTTTTCCGGTTCCTTCGAGGAACCATGTGAAGCCCACCTAATGGTTGACTTGAAGCTAGTGGAGAGAACGCGGCTAGCTAGTTTGGGATGAAAGGTGATTTGTACGGCTCTTAGTTCTCTATGCTTAGCTTAGTCTACGTTTCTTTCAACCCTAAACATCTTGGAACGTGCATACCCTTATTTGTTTAGAAAGTTGTGCATTCATTGGTGCTTGTTTCGTTTCAAAAAGTCCACCAAGAACGTCTTGTTTTTGTGTTTATTTTATTTGTCTATGCATTGCCTTGTTTCTGTTGCTTTATGTGTAGAGTTATGGGTTAAACTCTTTGGAAACCCTTACGAGAGCACACTCGTCCTCATAGGCGACTTTGAGGTTTAAATGGCTTGTTGTTTACGCTAAAAACAACCGTGATTCATACGAAAGTGAGTTAGTGTATATTCTTTTTCACCCCTCTCCTTTTAGTGTTATTAGATCCTTTTTCTTTCTTTTTGTTTCTGCTTTTGTTCTTTCTTGAGGACAAGCAAGAGGCAAGTGTGGGGGAATTTGATAAGTGGCATTTATGCCACTATTTAGATCCTCTAATCGCGGTATTTTTCTACGTTTGTCCCTTGTTTGTACCCCTTTTGCTCCGTTTCTCTCTTTATTATGTTTTTGTGCTTTTCCTTGTATTTTGTAGGCTTTTGGAGTTGATTTTGAGAGAATGAAGAACTTGGAGAATTGGAGTTCATTTGAAGAGCTACAAAGGAAGTTAAGGAGCAAGCAAGCAAGGCCATGCGGACAGCGCGGGTCGCGCTTTCAGAATGGCGCGGGCGCGCCAAACCCAGCGCGGGCGTGCCTAACATTGGGGTCGAAAATATTGGAGGCAGAATGTTGGCGCGATTTGGGCGCGGCTTAGGCGCGGGCGCTCCTAAGATAGGCGCGGGCGCCCCTAAGATAGGTGCGGGCGCTCAAGGGCCTGAACTCCAAAACTAACCTTTGTTCACTCTTTTAGCCATAACTTTTGATCTACAAATTGGATTGAGGTGATTCAAGTTGCATTAGAAACTAGACTTAAAGAGGTTTCCAACGCTAGGTTGCACGCCCCCAGAAGCTACTTAGAACAGAAGTTATGGCCGTTTGAAAATGAATGTTGCTGTCAGGCCAATCCCAGTGCGCGGCCGCGCAGGCCTCTATCGCGGGCGCGCACGAGCAGTTACGGGTCTTTTAAATGCTTCTTCCTCTCCTCTTTTTGGCCAAGTTTTGATGTTGGGTTTCTTTGGGGGTTTTCTCTCTCCTCTTTGAGGGGTTAAACCCTAACATCTCTCCATCAATCTTCACATAAATTAGGCTTAGATTTAGATTTAATCTTTGTTTTTATACTTTGTAATGTAGATTAAGAGTAATTTAGGGTATTTTAGAGAGAGAAAGTGAAGAGCTTCAATGGTGGATTGAAGAAGATGAAGATGCAAAGTGACATTGTTTTGGATTCCTTTTCAATACTTCAATGAGCATTCTAAACTCTATCTCATTTATTGTTCTTTCTTAATTTCTTGCTTGATTAGAGTAGTTGTTTAGTTTAATTGCTTCTCTTTGTTCTTCTTGCTGGGTTTTGTGTTAGTTGTTCATGATTAGTGAGTAATTCCCTTTACTAAGGGATTGGTGATAGCATGTGGTGAATCTTGAATGTATTAGGCTAGACAAATGTTGGTTATATGTGATTAAATATACCTTGTAACCATGTTTTACTAATTACTCCATGTGAATGGCCAATCATGTGTTGTACTTGGGTGGATTGAACTAAGTTATGACGATAGTGTAACTTAGGGGTATCCATTAGGTGATCGATTCTATGCAAAAACCTTAACTTTCAAAGCTTATGACGATAGTATGAGCATGTGTTAAGTTGGGAAAGCCTTTGACCCCGATAGGTGGTTAGATGGTATTGTTGGTATTGCCTTATATGAGATATTTGGTTTGCATGTAAACTCATTTCCATTGCCTAACTTTATTGAAGATCATTGTCATGTTTGACCCTCTCCCTTGGTGTTAGTTTAACTTAATATTAATCTCATTTTTGTTTATTGTTCTATCCATCCTATCTCTTTGACCTAGCTTAATTGGTGGTGGTGTTGATAGTGTTTATGTCGTCTCCGTGGTTCGACCCTCTACTTACCACTAAACTTGTTTAGTGTAGGTGTAGGTTATAAATATTGTTTGGTTGAGGGTAGTTAGTCCGACGACCTAATTATCCTTCACCATAAACTTCAAATATGAAACAATTGATCATCTGGACAACACTTTGTACGAGATAAATGAAGAATATGAGCCTGTACAGAGTTTTATCTTAGAAACGGTAAAGAATCAATAGACTAAAAAATTATCTTTAAATTCATTTTTCAATATCTTTTCTTATACTAATATTCATTGCATTGCAGGTGATACAAGTACATAAGTTGTTTAAAAAAAGGAAGCATCCACATGCAAATGATATGTTGTCCTACAAGCTGAGAATAATTGAACTTCCATTCCAAAAAGAAAGATAATTTCTCAGTAAGTTATCTACTGCTGCATATGAAGGTTTATGATAGTGCAAATGGCATAGGATTAGGAACAATAACAAAGGTAAGTTACCATACTTATTTTTTAAGTCGTTACACTCTAAAACTAATCTATACTTAGAGTATAATCACCATCATATAAGAATAGTGCTTGACCTACTTCTCAATGAAAGAAATCAAATGAAACAGAAACAGAAACAAATGTCGAGGATTAGGAAGAAAAGAAAGAATCTGAATAATTGTAAATGATATCAGTAGACTTGATATATCATAGATATTAAAGTACTTGAACTTGTGTAGTATTAATGCAAAACTTTTGTTAAGTAGTGGTTGAAGATAAGTTACTGGTGCAGCTTCAAGTTCTGCAACTTCTAGTTCTGCTACTGTAGTTTCTTCTTCTGCGGTTGCAGCTTCAAACAGTGCTGCTAATGCTACAGTAGCTAATGCTATGTCTCTGTAGTTTTATGTGTTGTTTTGTGATGGATGAAAATAGCTTTTGGGTTAGTGCAGGTTTAGGGAAATGAATTTCAGGGACTGTTGTATAGCAATTTGGTAGTTCTAGTATAATATTAGGCCTTATTTTGGTTAGCATCAATTATAAATGTAAAAATTATATGATGCTATTTGTAATTAAAACTATGGCTTTAGCCACTTAATATAATATTTCCAGTTTGTGTTAAAAAAGAATACATATTATATATCTAAGTTAAATTTCTAGGATTGTTCTTTCTCAAAAATGATGGTAGATATAAAAGTAAATGTAAATAGTGTTAAAGTAAATAACAATGTGTTTAAAGTAAATGAAAAAAGTTGTAAAAAAACAAATCTTTCTAAAATGTGGTGTTCGATTTAAAAGTAGAGAAAAATACTTTTAAAGTAATAAAAAATGAATCAAAAGTAGAGGTGGAGATGGGAAAAAGTATTAAAGTCAAAAACATGTTATATGATTATAAGTAAATGAAAATAGTGTTAAAGTAAATAATACTATGTTTAAAGTAAAAGGAAAAAAGTTTTAAAAAAAAACTTTATGAAATAAGGCGTTCAATTTTAAAGTACAAAAAAATACAGTTAAATTAATAGAAAATGTATATAAAGTAAAGGGAGAAATGGGAAAAAGTATTCAAGTCAAAATCGTTGACCCGACCCGAATGACCCAACGCATGACCCAAAATTGACCCAAAATCATTGACCCGAAAAATGACCTAAAACCCGAAATTAACCCAACCCAACCCATACCCGACCCGAAAATGGAGTTGACCTAATCCTGACAAGACACCTGAGCTCACCCGATCTGAAGTTAACCAACTCGAATTTGACCCGAAGAGTTTGACCCGAAGTGTTTAACCAACCCGAATATGATCCGAAGTGTTTGACCCGAAGTGTTTAACCAAATCGTATGACCCAAAGTGTTTAACCAACTCGTATGTGATCATACACCAAACTGGGGATGGGTCAAGTCTCTTACTTCATTTGCCTCACTGACATCCATGGGTGTAGTTGGTTAATCGAATTAATACCATAACTATGTTGATCGAATTACAACCGGCCTTACATCTTATTAGATTTGGTACAAGTTTAGGTGAGTTTAATAACCGGTCAAATTAAATTCAAGTAAAGTCAATAATTAATAGTTAGAAAAGTAACTCATTCTAGAATTTTAGTCAAATTTGGTTCAAGTCAATAATTTTACGGGTTATAATCAAGTTGAAATCACCAAGTCAATAATATATGGGTTACATTTGGGTCGGGTCATTTACACGTCAATTCATGTTCAAAATCGGTATCAAATACTCTTGTCAACTCGGGTTCCATGAAAAACGTGACAAGTATTTTAGAACAAAAAATGGATATGGTAACTAGTATTCTTGGACAAAGGGAACAATACAAGAAATTATCTTTAATTTTGTAAATAAGAACATTATATAAATCAAATAATTCATATGATATAAAACATAATAAAAGTAATGAAATATTTCATAAAGTTAATGTATAATAGCTAAAAGTAAATAAACTAAACTTAAGTTCTGTAGTACAATTACTTATAGTAAATGTAAAAATATTACAATAATAAAAAATATTTGTTCATTAAATCTTGATCTTGATCTTCCAAAAAATCTTCTAATTTCCAAGTATTATAATAACTGCACAAAAATAAATATCAGTTATTTGTCACAAATTAAAGTAAATAAATTAGAATGTAAAGTAAATACATTACAACTTAAAGTAAATAGAAAACGTAAAGAGGAAAAATACCAAATAAAAAAAATACCTAGTATAATAACACATGCACAAAATAAAAAGTAAATGAAGTTATTGTTTAAGTAAATAAATAGAAGTTTAAAGTAAATGGAACACACTTAAAAGTAAAATACCCGAAAGACTACTTGTTTGGACAGTTTCTACTGTCATGGGAAACACTAGATTGCCCACAAGCTTTACAGGTTCTGCTTTTTTTATATTTTTCTTCAGTAGCTATTTCTTTTGCACTCTTTAACCTCTTTGAACTTCTGGCAGAACCTTTATTAAGACACTGATTTGGAGTCAAAACATTTACATCAACTTCATTTGACCCAACCAAAACTTGAATATCAGCATCTTTTACCACTCTTGAACTAGGTGCATTTTCAGGATTATTCTTTGATATCATCTGGTCCTCAAATTAAGATAATGTCCTAATAAGCTCAGATAAATCATCCTCGGATTGGTCAGTTAAACTCACACAACTGAAAATCTTGGACCATACATCACTGACCAATTGCTTCTTCTTATCATAATTAGAAGCATCATCCAGAGCAACATCTATGACATAAGCTTTCTTCAGAACATATTTTCTCCAACAATTCAAGATATAAGCATCAGGAATTTCACGTATACACTTGCCTTTCATAACAAACAAAATGTGTCTACATAAAACACCTTGACTCTCAAACATTCTACAAGTAAAACTTGACTAATATGTTGCCAAGTCAATATTTACATCAAAATTTTTCCTTTTCTCATGATCAAGAATAACAGAAAACTCCACACGATCACCATACAGAGAACAACAACTTTCAACACCACATGAAAAACAGGCTCCCTGGCATTCTTCTTGAAAATCATAAAATATGGCACGAGTATAAACAACAACAGCATGATTTTCCAAGTGTAAATTAGTAACCAATTGAGGCTCAAATTTATTAAGCCTGTACAACTCATCCTATTCATGCCTTTGAGCATCAAGAGCAATTTCATAACGGATAAAGAATTCAACACGGGTCACATGAGGGTTTGTAAAAATTACAAGAGAAACTGTTTTCATCTTCAGACCTAGATGTAGAACGCAGTAACCCACCCATAAATAAGTCCCTAAAATATGCAGGAATCCAAAGATGTTTAATCTTGAACATATATGCAAACTACTCATGATCAACAAGGTTAAACTCCTCCATTACACTATTCCAGCCATCAACAAATACATGAAGATCAATCTCTCTATCCCAAACTACTACACATAGCTTTTTCAGGAAATAAGTTTCATTACAAAAAGCAGTTCCTACCTTTTCAGGTACTTTCCTCATCATGTGCCACATACATAGCCTATGTTTAGTCTTGGTAAAAACCTTTTCTATGGCAATACCCATTGCAGGATCTTGATCAGTGATAATACAAGAGGGTTCTCTTCCCATGCACTTTAAAAAAGTTTGAAATAGCCACACAAAAGAATCTATCTCTTCTTTAGATACTAGAGCAGCACAAAATGTGACACATCTCTTGTGATTATCAACACCAGTAAAAGGACAGAAAACCAATGAATATTTATTTGTATCATAGGTAGAATCAAAAGATAAAGAGTCCCCAAATAATTGATAATCTCTTCTACCAATAGCATCAGCCCAAAAGACATGGGTCAAATGTCTACTTTCATCAACACACTAATCAAAATAATAACCCCCTTTACTGGTTTTCACTTTTTGTTCAAGGTTCTGAACAAACATTGCACCATCAACATTAGAGATATAAACTTTCAAGTCCCTAGAAAAAATTTTGAAATCATTTTTACTGCCCCTGACATTTCGAAACCCACCACAAAGTACTTCCATGATCCTATAAGACATAACAACCCCTATATTTAACTTTGAGTTGTCAAAAATAATCTTCTTATGAGCAAAATTTAAACAAAATTCATGTTTAGTAACCTGCCTAGTATTAGGTGTAGAAAAAGGGTGAGAATGAGATTCATAAAAACAATACACCATACACTTCCCACCAGTACAAAACCTAAATTTTATCTTAGCAGGACAACCAAATCTCTTCACAATCTTTCTCTTTAAACAAGCACCTTCAACTTGTTTACCAGATTTCTTGTTATTTGTCACATACCCTTCTTTGCTACATAATAAATATTGAATTACAGTAACTGCTTTACCAGTAGGATCATTCTTATTCTTTTGTAATTTAGTAGTACTAGAACGGACTTTAAATCCACACTCATTAGCATATTTGTAATAAAATACAATACTATCTATAGACACCCATTTGTGTCTTCCCAAAACCAAACCCAGTGATGAGTACCTTTCACGTCGAATCATAATCGAATGAAGTGAAAGTGTGTAAAGTGTAGTGTTGCGGATAGTTTTAATTTCTTTTCTCCTCTCTCTGTTTTTTAAAAACCTATTTTAAAAAAGCAGTTAATCCAGTTTAGTTGGTCCATGATATGGGTTCAATAGTAGTGTATTTGGATAGGGCTTGAAAAGAGCCTTCCAACGATATATTATAAGCCCAATTCCGATGAATATTGAGGAAGTTATAGCCAAATTACTGAACTGGGCCTGGTTTGAGCCTTATATGCGGCCCAATGATCTAGAGGAGGGCCTAATATAAATTTATCATTCCTAATGCAATTAGGAATGGATTTAGTCTTCTAGATTCTTCTAGAAGGTTCTTTTCATTCCTAATTCAATTAGCATTGATAAAGTGACTTTTGTTGACTTTTTAGAGTTTTAATCAGAATAAAAGAATGTTTTTGAGGAAAATACGATTTTATCCTCCTGTACGGAAATTTCTATCTGATTTTAAGAAAACGCGTCGATAATTAAGTTAGCGCCAAACACCAGCATTAGCGTCTGACGCTAAGCTTGGCTTTTGGCTCCTGGCGCTAGCGTTAGCGCCTGGCGCTAATGTCAGCGTCGGGCGCTAATGTCTGCGGTTGGCGCTAACCTCGTTTTACGCGTCAGAACTCTGTTTTGATTTTTTATCTTTTGGCTGATTTTCTCTATAAATCGTCTTCTAAAAACTCCATTTTCATTCACTAACTCTCATCAAGATTCTCTTGATTACTCTCTCTCTCTCTCTCTTTTCTAAACTAGCCTTTTCTCAAATACAAAATTCCGCATTCGCAAGACTTAGATACACCTAGCCATATTCGAAGTTGTCTTCGCCCTAGACGTGAAAGGTTTTAATTTTTGAGGGTTTGGTCCCAAATATCTCTTTCAATTATTTATTTTAATTGTTTGTTTATTACTTTCCTTGAAGTTACTAACGTGTGTATTTTGTTATTAGAAAGAGATACGAGGCATCCAAGTAAGTACTTTAATGGTTTTTATTGATGTTATTATGTAGAAATCATGCTTAGATTGTTATTTTGATTCCTAGTATCATGTCTAGGGTAATTTTAATGTTAAGTATGATTAAAAGTATGATGCCTTTTATGTTCTTCCTAATATTATGATTGTTAGTATCATGTTAGGGTTAAAGCTTTTATTTTTATTGCTTAGTGACATGCTAGGGTTTGTTATTAATCTTGTTAGTATCATGCCTAGGATCTTCCTATTATTATTTTGCTTTAACATGATTCATGATTATTTTTATAATTGTTTTGATTATTATTAATATTTATAATTATATATTATTATATTGACTATTATTATGTTGCTTGATATATATATTTATTTATTGCTTGATCACGCCTATTATGCATGTTTAAAGGGAATTTGTACTTGTAATCACGCTTAATAAGATAATTATTAATCTTGTTAGGGTTAATTTGATTATAATTCAAGTGATCGCCAATAATATTTTTATTTGTGCATTATTATTCAACCAACATAGATAAACAAGTTTAGGGTAATCCTATTGATTGTATGTTAGTCAGAAAGCTCACATGAATACGATCAGAATAAAGTAGAGGCCTATTATTAGGGCAGGTTCAATCTCTTTAAGGTTGGATTTGTACCTTCATCCCCGAACTACCAGTCATGGTTCCAGACCTATTGGAGTTGACGATCTCCTTGATCGTTAAGGGGTGTAACCTTCACCTCGTGAACGGTTTACAAGTTCTTAAAAAAACTTGTTGGCGACTCTTTTGCTCTATCTTATTTCCCTTTGGACGCCACCGTACTTTAGTGTATGATCACAGTGGGGTTCAAGCTAGGGATTGACGCTTGAAATATTCCCTACAGTTTTTGGCGACTCCACTGGGGAGGATTTCTATTTTAATTCCTGAAATTTATTTCGGCAATGATTTAGAATGAGTGGATGAGACTCGAAACGTTCTAAGTATTTCATGTGCGTAATTTGATTAACATTATTGTCATATTCATTAAAGGGATCTCATTGGAAAGACCATCCGTAATGAGTTAAAAACATAGGATTTTTACACATAGGAAATTTGAGGAATATCTTTCACAACTAGGACCGAAATAACACTGTGCGAAACTGTAAAATTTTATCGAGCACAGAAAGCTGCTGAGGCATGTAGGAATTAGCATAAGAGAACAGAAGTTAGCTGGAAAATCCGACGCCAATCTCTGTTAGCTGGCGCCAAATTCTTCCAATACCGAGCCAGAAATATGCGTTATAGTTTCGACAAGTTTTTAGCATTGTTCGCTCGATCCTACTTCCTGATTGAGTTTTTCTCACTTTTCTGAAACCCATATGTGTTCTACATATGGACATAACCCCCTGGGAATTCATGCTCCATCTACTTGATTGAACGCTCTGAGCAACAAAGGGTACATCTGAGAATGTTGAATTCACCAAACCATGGAAGCGAGTTTTTTCTAAAACTCGCGGTGTCCCATTCACTCGCGCCAACCCTTCACGGTTAGGCTTTCGCGCGGTGCATCTGGACAATTAACCATGGACCCTCTATTGACTAACCCATATCCCGAACTTTAGAGAACTAGAGTCATGGTTAGGTTGCAAACTCATTGCATCATATCGTGCCTACTTGACTAATTGTGCATTATTTATTGTGCATATGGTATATGTTTTTCTTAACCGTTTGTTTGACTTGTGATAAGATTAAATTAAATCAATGACTAAAAGAACTTTGCCTAAATAATTATTTAATTAATTAATTTGAGTAAATAAAGTCTAATTTTTTTAATCAGAGTTGACCTAGTACAACTTTAGGCATACCCCTGTTGATTAATAATACCGAAAACAGTCTCAGATTGAAGCTCCAGCAATGGCGCCAAAGTTTGAACTGTAGCACCACTCTGTGGAGTGTGGCGCCTGGCAACAGCTTTGTTGTCTGGCGCTACACTTCAAAGAGAGGCGCCAGTCCTGTCGTTTTGACGACAGTTCGGATTATTGATCGAGTCATCACTTTGTGTCTAATTAACCAGTTTGCTAATTAATTCGCTTAAATTTTACTGTTAATAATACCTTGTTAAGTCATTAATTAAGTCTAGGCACCAAATCCCATGGTCTTACACAAAAGTCCAAGCATATCACTTACACTCAACGCAGACACCAATACACATACTTTGACCATGTCTAAGAGAGTCTTGTATGCGCGTTTTTTCCGTCATTTTTTTTAGGGGGGGTAAGTCGGATATTAATCCTCCAATTTAAATACCATACTTGGTTCTTAAAAAATATATACCTTATTTTTGCCAAAAATATGCACCTACTTTTTTTATTTTTCTTCTTTAAAACCGTAAAGTCAAAGTCGATTTGAGTCAAGTAATTAAAACAAAAATGGTTTAAATAGCGCGTGGTCAAGAAAGGAAGGGAGGTTAATCAAAGACAATCTTTTCGTACAAGTTCAACTTTTTGACAAACCCATTGCTCGTAAGAGGAAAGCTAGGACAGTAATGGCAACACAAGAAGAAGTCAATGAGCTCAGGAACCAACTGGTTATCGTGACTGAGGCACTAAAGATCCTAACCCTTAAGATCGATGATCCCGTGAAACAACAACAGATATGGACCTCATGCAAGAGAGTCTAAGCAAGCTATCTAGCGACTACAAGTTTCAAGGGATTAGTTCACAAGGGGTCTTGGTGGACAAAGATCTTCTTCTGCATAAGTTCAA